GGTTGCACAGGAAAGTGTCCAGGTGGGTTTGGAACATCTCCAGAGATGGAGACTCCACACTCTCTCTGGGCAGCCTGTCCCAGGGCTCTGGCACCCTCACAGGAAAGAAGATTTTCCTTCAGTTTGTGTGGAAAATTACCTCCTGATATACGCTTACTACCAACACAAGGACACAGGTGGGACAAAAAAACGGTGGGATACTGAACCCCAGTCAGTTGGGAAGCTCCATGACTGGAGGGCAGAGGACAAGGCTTCCATCAGAGACACAGAGCAACATCACTACCAACCACCACCGACAGACAGGGCGATGCTAAAAGCAAAATGCTCGTGTCCTTGCTAGCGTCGCTCTGACCAGCTCCCACCTGCTTTGCTGGCCCCTCTTGGCCAGTACAGACCACACCACCACGTGTCTGCTCTTCCAGCGCTTGCCCTACACACCCCCTGCCAGGAGATCTCTGGATATTCTCTGAATGCTGCTGCTTCTTAAATTATACAGCACATTAAACAGCACTACATCCTCATCAAGCAGGCATTAGCCAGGCCCAAGCACGGCGTGAATCATGTCTCCATGGGGCGATGTGTTTCCCTACGAGGTGGTCACAGCCTCAGCTGTTGAGAGTTTGCTAATGTCTTTCAAAATGCACCTTCTGCTAAAGTGCTGGCTCTGATGATTATTTAATAAATATTAACAAAACATTTGCCAGCTCGGTTTCCTGCACAGTGCAGCCACCTACTAGTCACTGGTCCTGGGGTGGCCTGCAGAAGGTCCCTAAGTGAAACCAAAAGCTCTGATCCACCTCAGCCTGCAGTGCAAAGATACCAGCAATATTTGTCACTTAAGTCAGTGAAAAGCCCTGAGCCTCTCGCAATGGGTTGAAGGCACAGAAGGCACAGTCTGGCCCTAGGAACACCTTCTGGGGTGACCAGCATGGACCCAGCACCAGTTCTGAGCCATCAATCTGACTCCTGTGTTTCAAAGGGACTTAAGAACTGGAAGGTGACTCAGGACTTTTGAAAGGACAAGAAGATCACTAGTAGATATAGAAGGCGAAGAACATGTGCACATCTCCATGTGTGTGAGCTGTGAGCCTGGTGCTGGGGATAAACAGAGGCTTTTTGAGCCTGGGAGGTCACTAGGTAGTTAAGACACAGGGAGGATCCACCTTCCTCTATTTCTCCTGGGATGGTACCCCAAGTACCCCCTTCACCTGATCTCTTCTGCTTTCCAACCATCCTTGAAGGTCCTTCATACCCCCCTAGATGGGAACACGATATTTACTCACTTGGGCATCCAGCTGCACCCACTCCAAGCGCCAAGGTCATGTTGTCTGGGCAGCATCCATAGATGGTCTGGCTGCAGTGCACAACCAGGAGAGGTGGTGGGGTTGTGGCAAGGGCTGCAGAGGAAGGCACAGAGGTACAGGTTATCTTTGGTACGTGCTGCTGCAGGATGGTATTGCCAATGTATGGATTGAGCAGCAAGCAGCATCCCTGCAAAACCATGTGGTCCTTGCAGAGATGCTGGGATGAGGTGATGTCCTACCCTTGGCCAGGGAAAGCACAGGGATGATCAGTGAGGATCAGCAAACCCCAGGGAAGGGGCACGTGGTACTGTTGGGCAGCAGGCTGGGGACCAGCCTTGTGTCAGCCTGGGGGGGGCTGGCTGCCTTTGAGGACTCACCACGACAGGCTCCTTGGCTACTGATATAGAGATCCTGGCGTTTTTCACACCGTGTCTTCTTCAGCTCACACTCATTGGTGTAGGTCACACCATCAGAGCCACACACCTGCCAGGACAGGAAGGGAAGCTGCTCAGGGCAGTCCCTGGCACAGGGTTCCCTCTCCATAGGATGTCCTCTCCTGCCCAGGAAGCACGTGGGAAGGGCACCAGGGAGAGCAAGGACTGCAGCAGGTAGAACTGCTCAGCGTGCTTACCGGGCTGCGTGGCACTGCCAGGCAGGTGAAGTCACACACACAGCGATCGTCCTCTGCGTCCTCGTCCCACCAGCCCCCGTACTGCCGGCACCGGTCCTGTTCACACTCACTACCGTCGCCAGAGCCCGAGCCCCCCGAGCCACACTCTGGAGTGAAGGAGGATCATGGTGAGAAAGGGCTCACACCCAGGAGAGCAGAGTTAGGGGAGAGCAGAGGGGATGAGGCCAAAAACCTCTCCCTGACATGGGGCAGCCCACAGACCCATCCCAACCACAGCAGATTTAACCTCTTCAGCACACACAACCTCAAAATCCTGGGCTCACATATCTGAGGATGCTTACGCCTGGACCTCAGAGATGATCCCTCTCCCTTGGAGAAAGCAGATTGTCCCACCGCTGTCACAAGGTTGTGCTAAGCCTACCTAATGAAAATGGCACAGGGATGCTTTAGCAGGTGGCCTGAGATCTTCCTCTCTACACCATCACCATGGGAGCAAAAGCAAGGATCCTGCAGCTACCCTGCAGGCTACCAGGAGATCAGACAGCTAATAGCCATGCACAGGAGGAAGGGCTGCCACCTGACTTAGCAACAGCTTAACTCCATCCTTTGATCCAGCTCCTGCCCCTTCTCCTGCCCTTCCAAACACATTGTGAAGCAGGGAGAATGGAAACCAGAGCAGAGGAAGGGATGGGATTAGGGTTTGGTATGAAGTTCAGTTAGACAGATACTCCTAACAACATATAAACTCTGTCCCTATGGCTGCCTCTCCATAAGATGCTCAGAGCTTCAGCAGCTAGAGAGACATGTTCCTGATTTCAAAGGCTTCTTAAAGGGGATGAGTGGGGGAAGGAAAACCTGGCCCTTTTTATTGAGTGATCAAAGGCTGGGTTTGGCATTACACAGAGAATTATTTAAGATCTTTTCCCAGAGGGATATCAACCTGAAATTCCCCATGGAAGGCTGTGATCAAACACTGTGTTATGTCTTCCCCTCTCCCTAAGCTTTGCCATAGCACTGAAGTCCTTTCCAGCTAGACTTACATGTGCAATGAGCCAAACAATCTCAGTTGGCCAGGTCAGCACATCAGAGCGCTGAGGTTTATGTGTCTCCTGTACTCAGGTTAAGCCAGCGTTAACCCACAGCTTTCCCCCACCAGTGGGAAAACTCAGCAGCTTCTTAACTCCTAGCCTGGTCAAGCAAGGACCAGCCAACCCCACGACCTTCCCAGGTGCTCAGTACGAGTCAATAGTGGCTGCTCAAGTGTGAAATTAAAGCTCAAGTGACAAACTCCTTGATCAGTCGATTGGGTGGTGTCACCTCTCATTACTGCTGGATACAGAGAGGCAAAGGAGAAAGGGAGGTGGCAGAGGTGCTGGGTGACAGTGACCAGCTGTCCAGGAGGGGAAGAGAGGGCTGTTGGCACCAGGCGTGCTGTGCTGGGGACACTGGGGGCGTCACAGGGCACTATGCCCGAGCTCCACGCAGTGAGGCTCACGTGGTGGCCGGGCACAGCAGAGCAGCGAGGGGATGAGCCCACTATGTGCGGCCCCTGTCCCTCCTCACCCTTTCCTCCTCCTTTCACAGCCACACAGCTGGAAGAACATCAGCGACCTACCGTCCTCACACGGCCCCATCTTGGCCACCTCAATGCTCTTCTTCTGCTGGCAGGAGGCCACCTGCATTTCACACTGGTTGTCGTAGGTGAGGCCATCGCTCCCGCACACCTGGGCGAAGGGCTGCCTCTCGCAGCGCGGGCACACGCACTGCCCACCCACGCACTTGCTGCCGAAGGAGCACACCGTGCTGCCGCAGGACTCTGTGGGGCAAGAGGGAGGAACCACCATGAGATGTTGTAGAGACCTTTGTAGCCGATTACCCAGTATCCCAGAGCTGGGGACCACTAATGCCACGTCCTCAGAGACAAGGAGAGAAGTCATCCTTCCCCAGAGTGGTTTGTTATTGCTTATTTAAACTGTGCACAGACTCTTCAACGGATGGGTGACAGTCCTGAGCATCAGCACCCACAGGTGTTGTGTCCAACAGCTTTTTCTAGGACACCAGTAAGAAATCCCACTGACCCCCATGGTGACTTCAACCTCCTCCTGCTCCCTGTGCCCATGAAACACTGAGAGTCATCTATCACACTTGGTCACTCTTGTCTCCTAAATTGAGAGAAGATCTCCATGCCCAGTTCAGCCTTGGAACACAGACCCAGCTGGCCAGGTTTTAGGAAGCTCAAAGCATTGCTTTTGCTGTCATAGCATTTGTCCTAATGAAGAACCTAGGCAGGGCTTTTAATTCATTAAGAAATGAGCACAGACAGTTGGTTGTGCGGGGGAGCGGGGAGGAAACACATGAGCAAAGAGGAATTAACCCCAGGGGATGGAGGGAAACAAAAGCTACTGAGATGAATTGTGTGATCAAATAGACCCTTGATGCTTTCAGTTCTGGTGGCAACTAATAACATGTTTTTAGCCCAATTTCTTTGCTTGGCTCAATAGACATTAGGTCAATTTCTTTGCTTGGCTCAGAGGAGTAACCAAGAGGGCAGATAGCACCGACGCTTCAGAGCTGGGGCTGGAAAGGAGAAGCTGCTTGAAAGACTCGAGATACCCAGTTTTTGTAAAACCAAAAGGGAGGATCATGCCAGACAAGGTGAAAAGCCTCAGGCAGGGTCCCTAAGTGACCATCTAGGAACTGCAGCCCAAGCTGCTGGGTGTCCCTGGGCCAGCCCCTGGAGCTCATATCATAGAATGGCTTGGGTTGGAAAGGACCTTAAAGATTCATCTAGTTTCATCTAGGGTTGTCAACCACTAGATCAAGTCACCCAGGGCCACATCCAACCTGGCCTTGAATGCCTCCAGGGATGAGGCATCCACAACATCTCAGGGCAACCTGTTCCAGTGTCTCACCACCCTCTGGGTGAAAAATTTCCTCCTAATATCTCACCTAAATCTCTCCTCTCTTAGTTCAAAATAATTTCCCCTTGTCCTGTCACTACCTGCCCATGTCAAAAGTCGCTCTGCCTCCTGTTTATAATGGAGAGTGACTTTTTACATAGGCATGTAAAGGTTTACGTTATATCCTCCTAGGAAGTCCCAAAAATAACCAACAAAGGCACCAGGAGGAACACTAGGGAGATCCTCCACATATCCCAACCCAGGGGTTTCTCAGGTGCCTCCCATGGCTGGCAAACCGATGGGTTGCAAGGGCTAGAAATGACTGGTGAGCCTTGGATGGCCATGGCCAGCAGTGCCCAGGTGGCCAGAAAGGCTGAGCACCCACTCTCTGAAATACCACCAGCAGAAGTGAGACGAGGGAAGAAGGGGACCTTGCCAGACTCACTGCAGTCTCCTTGGGCAGCCACCAAAATGTTCGTCTGCTGCGTGCACGCCCGGACGTGGAGCTCACACTCGCTGCCATACGTGTTGCCATCTGTGCCACACACGGGCTGCGAGGAGGGAACACACTCCGTGGGGCACACGCACCTTCCCGTCTCCGCCTCGCAGATGGCACCAAACTGGCACTTGCCACAACGGTCTGCAGAGATGGAGAACAAAAGCAATGGGTTGAAATAACAAGTCAGGCAGGTATCGCTGTCTAATGAAGTGCCAGAGCAGAAATAAAACCCCACTGTGATCTCCTCCCTCAGGTTGAACCGGGTTGGGATCAGCAGCCTCATGGTGTGGCACAAGGGAAGGAGCTGAGGTGAGGGCTGGAGGAGGAGGAGAGTCAGGCTCGGAGACAGAAAGGCAATAACTACTCGTAAAAACCATCAGAGCCAGGAGTAACCGTGATGAAATGTCACCGGAGCTGTGTGCTGCTACAGCTAAATGGGAAGGGGGACAGAGCATGGGGCTGAGCACAACTCCGAGGAGCAATCAATCAGTCCCAGCCATGGGAGGAGGAGCACAGCATCCCAGGCAGCCAGCAGCCAGTCTCCTGGGGGAGAGAGGTGGCAGGAGTCACACGTGGCATGGCAGGAGGAGGTGATCAGCCAGGAAGGGGGATACAGCCTTCCCTTAGTTTATTGGGGTGTCAGCAGTGCTGGATGCACATATAACACAGCACCCACCACCCAGAGCACCTGGTCAGCACCTCATCCTGCTGCAAACACACACAGCACAGGAGGGGCAGAGAAGACATTTATCTTTGTAATAACTCACTTGCAAAGGAGCCATCGCTCGATGCAAGAGAGACCGGACTCCAGGCAGCACATCTCCTCTCTCCTGACTCCTGGGTATTCAGTGATTCACAGCTTCATTTTCTCCTTCAAACACCTCTCTTCCCCCCCCACCATTCAATTCACAAAGAATTTGGCTCAAAGTTGGTTTTTCTTATTTTTATTTTTTTTCTTTCACACAGCAGCTGCTGCCTTTGCATGGGGGAGAGAAGATGCAACAACCCCCTGCTTGCTTTGTGCAGACTGTTGGCCGGGAGGTTTCTATCTACAGCCCAACACTTGCAGCCACGCCTGGGCTCCGAGGGTCAGGAGTCTGTCTGCAGACAAAGCAGCTCATTCCTCACTCAACTGCACGTGCCTGACAGCTGAAGTATTTGTACCCTTCACTCTTTCTCCTGTAATTATGTGGAGCTGGTACCTGCATTTTCTTCTGACTTGAATCCCCATTGAGCCCTCTGCTATGCTGCAGTGGGGAGCTCCACAGGTTGGAGGAGATCTTCCTTTTCTGGAGGAAGGGTCTTCCTTTCCTCTGCTGTCTCAAAGCCCTTACAGCTCATAGAATCACGGAATTGTTTGGGTGGGAAGGGACCTTTAAAGGTCACCTAGTCCAACCCCCTGCAGTGACAGGGACATCTTCAACCAGATCAGGTTGCTCAGGTCCAACCTGACCCTGAATGTTTCCAGGGATGGGGCTTCTACCACCTCTCTGGGCAACCTGGGACAGTGTCTCACCACCCTCAGTGTAAAAAATTTCTTCCTTATATGTAGTCTGAATCTCCCCTCTTTTAGTTTAAAACCATCTCCCCTTGTCCTATCGCTACAGGCCCTGAGGAAGTTTTTTTCCCCATCTTTCTCATAGGCCCTTTATTAAAATACCACATCTTGCTGCCATTCCAGGTCTCTGCAGCATCCTGCAGCTCAGGAGCAAAGCACAAGCTGTGACCAACAGCACGAGAAGGAGGAACCCCCAGAGATGGGCTCTTACCACAGGGTCCCTTGTGTTTCACTTTGATCTCCCTCTTGAGGACACAGGCCATGGAGTCCAGCTCGCAGGGGTTGCCGTAGGTGCGGTTGTCGCTGCCGCAGACGGGGTCGTAGCGGCCCTGGCATACCTGCTGGCACTCACACACAGCCTCCTGGTTCTTCACCACACAGGTGGCCCCAAAGGTGCACTCCATGCTTAAGCACGGGCTGGGTGTGCCCAGGTCTGCAGAGGGGACAGGAGAGAAAGACATGGGTCTCAGTCTGCTGCTTGCCCAGCTGCCCCGGGGCACTGTGCAGAGCAATGCATGCCAGCATCCCCAGCTGCAGGTCCACGCCTGCCTCCCCCAAGCTGTGGCAAATGCACAGAGCTCCTGGCTTTGGCACCAGCCCAGCCCCTGCACCCTCCATGCCACCCCAACATGCCTGGCTCAGCATCTTCCCCATGCTTGGCAGAGGTTAGGGATGGGAAGCAGGCACAAGATCTTCTCCCTGCACACTATGAACAGGACTCTGCCTCATCTCCTCTGTCCCATCCCAGTTACATCCTGCCCTGAGGAGTCAGCCAGAGATGGGATCAGCCCCACAGGTTTCTGCACCAAACCCTGATGTCTCGGTCTCCCAAGAATGAGCACCATGAGCTGTGGAAGAGCAACACAGACTGAGTTCCCTCGTTGCCAGGATGGGAGCTGGCGCTTCTTTTCCTCAGCAGTTCCATAAGGCTGCCTGTGAAGTCGGATCTGAATGACCAGCTCTGTGGCAGAGGGCAGGAGACAGCAGGAACCCTCCTCAGAGTGGGTCTCGGTGCCTCCAGGACACTCGCTATGTCGTCATGCAGTACCTGGCACCAGCAGCTGAACCCTCCGTAGCCAAAAAGTTCACACAGGGATAGTTCCCTTCACTGAGGTCTCACATCCTCACTATCACATTGTCCCCTGAACAACTGATCCTAATACCTGCTGTGGCCATACCCAAGAAGATCTGGCTGCAGAGGACAGCCTGCTTGCTGAAGCCCCTCCAGAAATTCCCTCCACTATCCAGAAGCCAAGCCAGACAGCTAAAAGGCAGGAGTGCCCAGGCTGCTGGGGAGAGATACAGCACTGCCCAGTGACCCCTTCTTGTCACTCAAGAGAAAAGCCCTGAGGACCTGGGACAAGGAAAGGACACAGATTTAATCCGTGCTGAACACTGACAAGGACACACGACAAGACAGATGGCGGGGAACAGACAATGTGGCCAAGGTGAGATGGATGCAACAGGCAGACACAGCAACAGCTCCACCAACACCAACAGTGAGGCAAGCACGGAGCCGGAGTGTGGTGGGAAAGGCAAAGCCCTCCAGAGCCTGCTGACATGGCATGGAGAGTGGACAGGGACAACAGGGCCATTTTCCTTGGTCCTAGCAAGAGGGGAAGAGCAAGGCTTGAGCCCTCAACCATCTGCCCCTGCACGCTGTCACCCAGTGAGAAAACAGCCCATGGCATGGACACAGGCAAGTCTCAGTTTGGGATCTGGCTCTTTGGGAAGCACCTGCCAAGTCAAAACTTAAAGCTAATGATCTGCAAAGGAACAGGGAAGAGGGGACAGTTCAGGTCCATGGCCACTCCCTCAACCCAGCCTTCTCAACTCAACTGTGTCTCCAACTTCCCTGCAGCTGAAGAGTTCTTGAGCAGTTCCTAAGGACCAGAAACCACTCCCTGTGACACTGCTCACATCTCCTGCTTGTGTTTCATTGTTTGAAAACAACACCTGTACCACAATTATGTCCCCCAAACAGAGACACGAGCTTGCATGGCGAAAGCACTTCTGCTGAACACAGCTAGGCAGGAAGGATGCAACGAGCGAGGCATAAAGCCAATATATTTGTTCATTTGAAATCCAAATTCACACTCTTGTCTTGAGGAGCAAGTGAGCAGAGAGTGAGAGTGCAGGGAGGTGCCAGGCCTGATGGAGAACACTGCTCTGACATTTCTCACCCTGCTTAAGCAAGCGAACCTGCAGAGATGCAGCACATGAAGTTCCTTCACAGCCTGAACCTCAGCCTGTGAAATTTCCCACACAGCAGGGAAACTGAGGCACGGAGCAAAAATGCTCATTCTGCACCCTGACTGATCCCTTCACCTGCTGCCAAGCTCTGCAGAAACTGAACCAAGCTCTGGGAACATGAGCTCTCCCACAAGCCTTGCCTGTGGATGGCTATGGGGTTCTGAAGCTGCTTTGTAACCCATCACACCCCATCAAGCTCCAGCAGCAGCTCCACAAGGACATAGAGGAGAATTCTTGGAGAAGAACCACATCTGAGCACAGACAGCTCCTCAGTGCTTCCAAAAGGCACATGGTGCTTTGCTGGAAGCTGGGGAAGGGGGGCAGCAATCCTTGCAGAGCCCCTGCCCACTGGACTTGCACAGACAAGCGTGACACACCATGGAGAGCAAAGGGACAAGCATGACAGTCCCAGGCAGGCAGAAGTCTCTGGGAAAGAGGAGGTGGGGAAGAAAGGGGGGTTAGTTGGGGGCACAAGGAGAGGTAAGATCAACTAGGAGCAGTCCAGATAGATGCATCGGCCAAAGAGGGTCTTGCCAAGGATTGAGGGGCTCACAGCACCCACCTCTGCTCCCACTCTCACTTGCCTTGAAGGGTCAAGCCACAGCAAGCATCGGACAAGACCCCACTGCACTGCAAGGCATTTCCATTCCAGCAGGAAGTGTTTGGGGTGAGGGATGGGAGCAAAACCAAGGCAACCTCTCCATCCTGGGGGCCCTCAAGCAAAACTAGAGAGGAGGGGAGCAGTGAGAAGGGGCCAGGACTGTCACTGTCTATGGAGAAGGGGAGAAAGCCGACCTCCTAGCAGAGATGTCCGGGTAGGGAGCAGAAGGGTGCTGCGAGGACACAATTCCTTCCTCCAAACAGGCAACACTGTAAAACACAAGACAGACGAGAAAGGAAAGAGAGAGAGCAGAGGGAGAAAGGGAGCAGGAGGGGAGAGAGAGCAGAGAGAGGCAGGGAGGAAACGACAGATGCAACTGCAGATACCTTCCCTCCACCTCCTGTCCACATGGGTCTCATCCCATCCCTTCTTTGAGAACTGCCCCATCAGGGTGTAAAAACAGAGAAGGATTAAAAACAAGGCTTGGACTGTTTTGTTTGGCTTTGCCTCCTTTGCCTCGCTGCGGGAAAAGAGAGCAGCAGAGCTTAGAGTTCATCAGACAGGTACATGTGATGAGCATCAGTGCTCATGCTGAGGAGACCTGTCTTGACACACAGGCTGGCAAGTAACATCACCACCCCATCCCCATTTCTAATCTGTTTCCACTGAGCCTGAACTGGTGACACAGAGGAGGACATGATTTCTTTCCACAGGGCAGCACCGAGCTCAGAGAGAAGATGCTTTCCTAAGCTGATGGGGAGGCCAAAGGCTTGCCCACCCCCCATGGTGGTTGGCTACAGGGCAGCCTTGAGCTGTCATGTGGACTTTGAAATCCTAGACTTTGGCAGACAGAGCCCCAGCTTTGATTTACTTCCCCCAGATCACAGAATCACCAAATGGTCTGGGTTGGAAGGGACCTTAAAGATCATTTAGTTCCAACCCCCCTGACATGAGCAGGGACACCTTCCACTAGACCAGGTTGCTCAGAGATGATGAGTTTTGTTTGTTCCTATCCCCACAAGGATGTAGCTCCTGAAAGCAGATGTGCACATCTGCTGTCCTCACCTGGAGGAAGAGAAGTTGAGTGGAAGTTAAAATAAAAGAGAGTAAGATGGAGAGAGGAACAGCAGATCTCTAGGCATCATATCCTACTGTCCACTGGCCTCACTCCACTGAACGTGGTGGAAATGACACGCATCTGACAGCAGTGTCATGAGTAGCACCAGTTCTCTACTCACCCTAGAAATTTGGGAAACTCTAGAAATTGGAGAAGCTTCAGCAAGGGTCTGACTCTAAAGGAGGAACAGGGGAGGGTTTGTAGAGAGCCCAGGGCACCAGAGCCCAGCCACTCAGCTGCAAACACCCATCTCCTGGTCCCACTGCCCCAGAGCTGCCTTGGGGCACAACAGGGCAGGAAAACAAATGCCAGGCGTGCCAGCATGCATGGCTTCCTGGCAAAGCTTCTGGTTGCCATCCAGTACCAGCTCCCCATGCTGTGGGGAGACAGAGGACTGAAAGGCACCTCTGTTGTCCTTCCTGCAGGGAGAACTTGGAGAACTGACTCCTAATCATTCAACTACCCGAAACCCAGTGAAACAGGTGATTAAAAATAACAGTTGTGATTATATTGAGTGTGATTTTGGGAGCCTGACAAACAGTTTTCAAGCAGCCAGGCCTGGCAGCATTAAAAACCTACTGCAGGAGCACAAAGCCAACAAAACAGACCCACAACATGGGGCTCAATTTCCCAGTATTTCAGAAGGTTTGATACAGCTGATACTTTAGAAAACATCAGCTTAAAATAATAGGAGACAGTTCTGGATCTATTAAAAAACCAATTTGAACTGAAATGAACAGTTCTTCCAACTCATACAAATCAATCCAGCGACTGTGTTTAACCTCCTTCATTTTCTGTGCAATAATTTTAAAAACTGGATGTTCCCAACATCCTCGGGACCTGAAGCCCCATCCTGAAAAAAGCCTGAAAAAACATCCATTGGAAAGGTCAAAAGCTTCTCCCAGAGATGAGACAAAGACACGGCGAGAGACTTCCAGAGAGCGGGTGCGCTGGGAAGAATTCCTTACGGAGAGTACCTGGAGCTGAGAGAAGCAAGCAGGCATGGAAGGAGGAAGCATGGAAGGAACTTGGGGACTGGCACTACCCTGGGAGGAGAAATGAATGGTGTGGGCTGCACAGGGACTGTGTGGTGGTGAATATGGTCATAGAGGTGAATGAGAGGAACCAGCTGGACATCACAGACACTTGGGTGCTGTTTAAACACACATTATTCCTCCCTGGGTTATTGAGTACATCAGAGACAAGACCAAGGAGGAACACGTGCACACACACACACACACACACACACACGCACACACACACACACACACACAAAGACTGCTGACTGCTGGAAGGAGAAAAAAAAAGGGAGAAATGGATATTCAGAGCTTGTTGGCTACAAGATTGAAGAGACCCTGTGGCTTGCTCAGACAGTGGGCACCCAGTCACAACTTACCTGCAGCTTTCCAGCATCAACTCGAGCACCGTTGCCTGCGCAGAAGGGACTGAGACAGGCTGGGCTTTAAGTGCCTGCTGGGGCTGGGAAGTGAGAGGTTTGGGGCTACCAGTGTTCCTGTGGGCGAGCAGCCCAGTGGTACCAGTGCTTACCACAGGGTCCACTGTGCTTTACTGGGATGGCAGCTTTCTGATGGCACTCAGCTTTCCGGCGCTCGCAGTCGTTGCCGTAGGTGCGGCTGTCCCGGGCACAGACAGGTCTGTAGGCACCGTGGCAGGTGATACGGTCACAGGAGCAGCGCGTGGTGCCGCGGCGGTTCAGACAGACACCGTTGAACTTGCACTCATCCTTACATTTGTCTGGGAGGAGAGAGGACAGCACTGTTGGCACCCACCCCGGGGACAAGGGGTACGCTCTCATTGCCAAGAGCGTGGCACGGGGAAAGTCAGGAACCCAAACGCTCCTGTTCCCCAGGAAGCAGAGAGGTACTTACCCTGCTGCTGGCACTGCCCTGAACGCACCTTCTGGATCTCCAGTCCTCGGATGGCCCCTGAACGCCCCATCACACACTCGTTGTCATAAGTCACCCCATCGTCACCGCACACAAGCTCCCTCTTTGGGGGACAGTTCTCAGGGCGGGGGAGCAGGTCAGCCCTTCGGGTGCGGGGGTTCACCCGGCAAACACGGTTCATGTCGTTGAGGACACCTTTGCAAGGGTCTGTGCACAGAGACAGAGCAGAGAGTCAGACACACTCACACCCTGTCCATTTCCCTAACATCCTGTGATTCAGAGAGGAGATTCCTGGCCTGTCCTCATCCTCCCAGCTGGCCCCAGGAGCCTCTACACCTTCCCCAGTAGCATTCAACGTGTGCTCATCTCTTCCTCAGGACTGGACACCTGTAGGGTTCTGCACACTTAAGGATTCATTTGTCACTGAGCTGCACACACAGAGGACAAGTGCCCTTTCCAAAGTGACATCTGGATGGGATCAGCTCTGCCTTTTTCCCATCCCCAAGCTGCCTTTGATCCCCTCTGTCTAGGGGACTCTCCCCCTGACCCACACAAACCTCCTGAGTCCAAGGGGTGTTGGACTTGATACTCCCATCCTGCTCCTCCCTGTCTTCCCAAAGAGCTTGAAGAGCCCTGAAGGCAGCCAGGGCCACACGCTGCCTTGCCCCACTGCTCTAATCTAGGCTTAGCTGGATCACCCTCTCTGATGAGCTGAGCTCACATTAGCATGCCAAAGACATGGGCAAAACAGCTGCCCACTGTTCACTAATCCCCACTCTCGCCCTGGGTTTGTCTCTTCCTTGTCAAGCACGGTACCTGGAGAGCTCTGATTCATTTTCAGCAATTGCAGAAACACAATCAAATGTTTCTTCTACTCTTTAATCCCACTAGTCTGAAATCCTGGCGCTGAGCACAGGGCCAGGCTGACAGGGAAGGAAATAATATCAAACCCCATTTCCTCAGCCTCTCGCAAGCAGGTGAGGGACCCTCCCTTTCAGCCACCCCCATGCCCCTTGAAGAAGGGTGGCTGAGGACAGAGTCACAGCTGAAACCTTTTGTTCATTTTAGCACGTGCAGTAATCCTGGAAGCAAAGCAGATGAAGGAGCTCCCACAGGACCTACCCAATCCATCTCCCATTCTCCCTCCAGCAAGAGCTGCTTGTGCTCGCTGCTGCCCTGCAGTCACACCAGCAGACAGCCAGGGATATGTTACCTCCTTGGAGGCATCTACAAACCCTCAAAAATCACAAAAACATCTTGTGTGGACTGAAGGAGCTGTGGGTATGTCAGGCTGTTATAGCAGGGCAGAGATGGGGCATGGTTGAGGAGATGGGGACCGCATCAGAGGGCTTGGGGATGAGGCAGCTGCACAGACATATCTCTGGGACTGCATGATGAGGATATTCAAGATGTGCTCTGCTCATCCCCACTCTCTCCCCTACCTTACAGTCCATCCTCAAGCCTTCCAGCACACTCAATAGAGTCCAAACACCTTAAAGTATTTTCAGGTTCTATAGTCCTGCAGCTCAACCCAGACTGCCTGAGTTTCTGCTGATACCCAACCAAAATCAGGAGGACCTCAAAGAAGCAGTGAGGCTCCAAGCCTCCTCTCTGCCCTAAAAACCAGGAGCACTCAGTGTGACATCACCTCTTTCACACCTCCCACTTGCACCCATCTCACCCTACTTGGGATGGAGCAGTGAAAGTGCAATTAAAGCTCTTCCAGGTGAAAGAGCAATCAAAGCTCTCCCAGGTTTGCAGCCAGCCCAGACACACTCCCACACTCCTTCCCCCGGGGACAAACACTGGTCTAGCACGTGTCCTGGCTGATCTCATGGTTTTCCTAATGAATAGAGTTGCTTTTAATTACAAGTATCCACAGCCATCATTAGCCAAAGAGGAAGCCATCCTTGGAGTGGCAGGATTGTGTTTGAGCTCCAGGATTTGTGCCTGTCGAGCTGCTTTAATTAGATGGAGCTGATCCCCGTGAGCCCCGGGACGCCGGCTAGCAGAGGGCTTCTTGCCAAAAGTGGCAGCCAGGGAAAAAAAATGGCAGGAGGAAAAAGAGGTGGCACAGATGTTGCCACTGCTCTCTAGGTCAGTAGGTCCTGAGCAGAAACACCCTCAGCCAAACACTGCAGGGAAAATACTGGCTTGGTCTGAATTTCAGAAGCTGTCACCCACAGAGTGACCTTTTTCTGCTCAGCTCATGTTTTTGAGCTGATGACAGCAGGCGTGCAGGCAAAAGCTTTCCTCCCCAAGCCTTGCCATTTCCCACTTGTCTGCCCTCGACACTCCTGCCACAAGAGGAAACGTTTTTTTAAAGCAGAGAACTCACCACAGGCTCCATCAAACTTCTTGAAAACATTCTCCTGCTTGTCACAGGCATGCTTGTTGAGGTCACACTCGCTGCGGTAGTCCTTGCCGTCGCTGCCGCACACCGTGCTCTCGGGCACGCCGCTGCAAGACGATGGGCAGACACATTTGGCTGACTGGCCATCGGTAGAACGGACACACGTGCTGCCAAAGCTGCAGGTCACCTCTGCACAGGGGTCCTTAGAGCCTTGTAGGAGAGAAGAGGGGGCACAGCACAGGCGTGAGCACAGCAGCCTGTGTTCCCATGCTGTCCTCTCCCACACACTCCTCTTATGGGATAAATAAGCCCAACACACCATGGTATCTACCTAGACAGCCCCAGTCCTTCCAAGTGCCAAAAAATGTACATGGTGGCAATAAGATGTCCTTCCCTTGGCTTCAGCCACTGCCATGTACTGGAGCTCATCCATCCCGATGTCTTCAGGGGCAGGATCGTGAGGCTGCAGGATCAGCCCTGAACCCACAGCATGGGAGAAGGGAGCTCAGTCCCCACCTGGCACTTCAGGCACAGTCCCTCCTCTCTAAACCTCTCAGCCTCACTGCTGTGAGCTCCTCTCCCTGCACATGCTCTGCAAGAGCCTCTCGCTTCAGCAAACGAGCAAAACAAGGGTCCTTAAGGCACCTCCTGCAAACCATAATTAGAGGAAGAGCTTAAGGAGCAATTTCCCTACTGACAGAGAAGGGCCAAAATTTATTTGCCAGCTTTTTTTCCCTTTATTTGTCACTTTTTAATGATTATTATTTTAAATAAATCACTCGGCACTCTCTCCCCTCTGACAAGATCCCCAGCAGGAGCGCGGGTGCAGATTTATTGCAAGCCAGAGCTCTGCACGAGAGAAAGGTCAAGTTAATTTACTCTGAGATGAGGAAACTGGGGTCTCATTTACACAGCTCTTTGCTCACAGCTGGTGAAAACCAGGCTGGGGAAGGGCTTTCATCAGCCCACCCAATACACCTGGTCCCTCCAACTCCACTTTCTAGCTGTGGCAGATGTGACCCCACTCTGGGGAGGCAGAGCTGCCCAAGACAGAGGCACCTCCTGAACAGGCTTTGGACATCAATTTGTCTGCTTAATAAATTCTGCTGATGGCCAAGGCAGAGCTGGTGACTCCCTTGGTGTCCTTTCCCATCAGACCTGTCCCCATTCCCCAGGACATCACCAGCACTGCAGTGATGACACAAGCTTGGGAGAAGTCTCCCTGGCCTCCTGCCCTCGCACTCACCGCACGGTCCCTTGCTGATGACTTTGATCCGTCTCTGTTGGTTGCACTGGGCCTTCTCCAGCTCACACTCGTTGCTGTAGGTAGAATAATCAGAGCCGCAGACAGGAGCCACCACCACGGGACAAGCTGTCTTCTTGCAGACACAGAAAGCCTGGGAGGGGTCGGTGGAGCTCCTCTCACACACCGCCCCGAACCCACACAGCATCCCTCGACATGCTGTGGGCACAGAGATGGAGAGACAGCTGAGCTGTGGCTGCTCCTCTGCACACAGGATGGATGCAGACCAGCACCCGGGTCCAGGCACCCACTCATGTCACCCATCTGTCCCCTGGCAGAGCTGCTCACAGAACCCAGGCTCGGGGAGGGGCTGCAGCCCTCATGGGGACCAGGACTGCAAGGTGAGAGGAGGATGCTCTACACACAGCAGGGTCCTTTCCTAGCTTAGGACAAGGATGTCATCATCTCAGCATGTCCTTCTCCAGGAACATCAAGGACACCAAGGTGTGAGGTGTAGAGGATCCAAGCCAGCCTTGCCAGAGCCACCCACCCCAAAGCCACATGCTTGAGAACAAGGGTCTGTCCTGGCCGGGTGGCTGCACCCCAAGCTCCCATCTCCTGCCTGAGCCCAGAGCATGGGCATTAAGCAAAGGCACAGGTAACTTCAGTTCTGGCTCCATCGTGCTGGTACCATGAGGAGCAGCCAGAACAGAGGCCACGGGGAAGGGCAGCATGGACAGCCAGGTCAGTAAAGCCTGTGACCCAGAGAAAGCTTCCTCTGAAGGGAGGCTGTCCTGGAAGGCAGCACCCCTTTGCCCACAGGCACCACACCACCATCCACATCAGCTCCATCACAGCATCTCCTGAGTGCTTGAGCCCTACTGCCCTTTGAGAATGACCAGGTAAGGCTGGATCTGTGACAGGCACCTTCATCCCACACAAGGACAGGGAGGGAACCTTGTTGTACCATGGGGTACAATACGATCCAAGCCCATGGTCAGCCCTCCTGCCTCCTCAGTGCCCCTTCTCACTCCAGGCTGCCCGTTCTGCTTATTGCCACCCTGAACTGGAGAAAGCAAGGTCTGACACCAGCTCTGCACCACAGCAGGGAGGTCACAGCCCAGCTCATGAGCAGGGAGGTGCCTCCAACCCCACTACAGACACAGAGGAGCATCCCCAGGGCTCCAGAAAGCACTTGCTGCACCCAGCGCCCCTCTGCTCAAGCCTTTGTGAACCCCCCACAACACAAGGTGTTTTCTGCTAACCAGCAAGAGAAAGGAAAGTCAAGGAATGGAGAAGAAAACATCTTCACTTGTCCCACCGTGGGACAGATCAGCCCACACAGGCACACTGCTTTATTCCCTGCCATTTATGCAGAGCAGCTGAATCACGTGGCTGGTGTCTCTCCCAAGGAGATGCACGAATCTCTTTATCGCATCCGCTAATCAGAGCAGCCAGCACAGACCAGTTCAGCATCTGAATTGCTAATGTGGCAGGAAACGTAATTCTTCAGTTGGAAGGATGAAGGGAGAGGAGAGGTGTGTTCAGAGGCAGCGGTCTGCAGGTGAGACAGTGAGAGCAGGGGGTGTCAGAGCTTTCTGGCTGGTGGTTACGGCCACGGGTACAGCCTGATGCTCACAACATACACCCCAGACAGGTAGGTATGTACAGGTGGGTGGGCACCACACACCCGCTGTGCCACGGACAGTCCTGGCACCCACACACACACACACCAGGCAGCGGGTGCACCCGCGCTCTCCTACAGCCCACGTTAGAAAGGGAGACTGACCTACATAATGAGAGAAAGAGAAATCATAAAAGGGAAAATAAAATGCTCGACAGCAGCTCATTTACA